CAAGCCCTCCCAATTTGTAGAGGATACTTCGAAGTATATGTCCTGAAGTTTTCTCAGCTTACTTACATTATTTAACTGAGAAAAAAATTAATTACTTAAAAAAATGTTGTTAAATTTTTGAGCACGGCGCTGTTATAAAAGAATTCTAATAAATGTATTAAATTCTAAAACTTTTAAGCTAGCCAGTCTTGTAACCCGTGAAATTCTCTATCAGGTGAGGTATTGTTTAAATTCTTTTGTTGAGTCCTTATTTTGCAAATGGGACTGTAAGCTAGTAGAGTAGGCTAAATTAACGTTAATTAGTACTAATTAGTCAATAATCGGAAGAAAAGAACAAAAATTTTTATCAATTTTCTCGTCGTAAATATTCTCCACACATTTCTCTATCGATCTAGACAAGAACCAAGCTTTTGTGATGAATACAGGATGGACAGGAATTTTTTAAATAATAACCCCGTGCTCAAAAATTTAACAATATTTTTTTAAGTAATTAATTTTTTTCTCAGCCAAATAACGTCAGTAAGCCGAAAAAACTTCAGGACATATACTTCGAAGTGTCCTCTACAAACTGGGAACGCTAGAGAAAAATCTAAATGGGGGGACCCCCCCTTAATTTAAGAAAAAAAGTCTTTGAAAGACTGCAATTTAATTCACCACCCGTTAATACCATACATGTGAATAATTAACATAGCTTTGTCTGCTCATATTTGAAGTGACAAACAGAAACATGGGGGTGAAGCAGGTAATTGACATGTATTGCCCCAAAATATAACCTGAAATATTCTTTTTAACAAAAATAAGTGTTATAATCATTTAAAACTGGCAAAAAGAGGTGAAAAATTGAAACGAAACCTTGAAATTAACCGGTAAAAGACTGGTTGAGAAGCTGAACTATGATAAGTCACAACTTAGTAGTTGTCCTTGTTAAGATGGAACTGGACCCTCAGAGATCGATTTGGTTTTCAAATCCATTTTATATAGACAAACGGTTTACAAAAGAAACCATATTTGCTTTTGAAACAGCTTTCCGAAGGCTTACGCTTTCAAGACAAAATGCTATTGGAAAGTGTATGTTATACCGTAGACTCTATTAAATTTATGTATTAATAGAGCTGCAGAGGATGTAATCACAACTTACTATCTTTCACTTCTTTTTGCTGGTGTGAATCTTTGCGCACTATGATCTTTTGTATCCACGATGGTTGTTGTTTGTCTACTTCGACGTGCACATTCGACAGTTTGATAAGGTTATCTTTCAGTTCTTTTAATTGGGTTATCCACATGTTGAGGTGTCTTTCGTCATAATCTTCCTCGCTTCGACCGTCACGAATCGTATTAGTTAATTTACGAAATGCATCAGCGAGTTGATTTTTGTTATCACCTATCAGTTTGACAACGTCGGTGTGACACCGGTCAGCAAGTTGATTAATTTTATCAATAGACTCTTTCCTCCAGTTATCAATTTGTCTTAATAAAGGATGAGTTTCATCTTCACTTGGCTTTTCGAGTTCTTGTTTGAGTATATCATGTTCATAAACAATATTGTCGAGTTCTTTTGACAGATGTTGACGATGATTGTTGAAACACCGTGGGCAAAATTTTGCTGAACACCCTTCACATGCGACTGTACCGGCATTTTTGGCACATTTTGTACAACGAACTATTGATGCAGTTGCCATTTAAAAATGTGTAGCGAAACAGTCGTCCTTCCACAGAAAAACACACTCTTTTGCAATTTTGTATTAATGGTAAGAGTAAAATATCTCTATTTAGTGAAAGGTAACAGCACGAAATAACAGCTTGTGCTTGTAATATATCAGATATGTAAAAAACGTTTCTGTGTTACTCACCTTTCAGTTTAAATATAAAAACGTGTTTTTTGAAAATTTGTGTATTCGCCACTGATCGAAAAAAGGTAACTATTCTAATGTGAACAAAATAAAGATTATTTTTCTTCTGTAGCGATAACAACTACCCTTCGAGAAAACGAGAAAGAAACAAAAAGAAGCAAAAAACATAACGGCGCGAACGGAAATCGAAAATACGCCACAATAAAAATCTCTTTCGTTCTGCTCTTTCCACTGGGCTATCGGGTCTGTACTTTCTATCGTCCTTCTCTACATTATATTTGAGATGATGGGAGAAAAGAATTTTCTCATGGACTTTCCGTAAGAGTCTTCCAGAAACATATGCAAGAAATTGCCTAAACTAGAAAGAATTTTGCATTCTCATGACGAAAACATCATTCTCTTTCCTTTTACTGTGACGAACGGACGTATGTAACTGTATATATTAAACGTACAGTCACGTGACTGTTTTTTGTGCTTTAACGGGATTACTTTGAGGACGGGATTATTTTTTGCAAAAGGAAGGACACCCCTGTAACCAAGAACCATAATAGCTAGGGACTTCTAATTTAGTGTGATCATAGCTCTTACCGAATGCTGTTGACCTACCAAGTTTGCTCTTCTTTTACTGGATGGTTCATGAGATATATGCGATTTATTTCTTTTCCGTAAAATATCAATAGCTCCTGACCTAAGAGAGATGAAAATTTTTTCTTTTTACAAAAATGCAGCCACGACTGTACTCTATCTGCGATATGAATTTCGCAAGTTGCCTGTTAGGAGTCAGTGAAATACAACTATTTTACAGATGAAGTCGGCTTTTTTTGTTGAAAATTCGAGGTTCTTTGCGCAAAAAAAAATTCGCAATTCCATCTAGCGACAGCATTTTGACTTCAAATTCGCACCAAAGGCTCTAAGGTGTCTGTAGACTATCCAGCCAAAGTATGAAGGTTCACTACTGCGTGGTTCTGGAAATTCATTGAAGACGAGCACTCACGATTGAAACATATGTAGAAAAGCGAGGGCAATGTATTAAATGTCGCTCTTTGCACTATAGTATTTGCATTGAATTACATCATAATCATGGAAAAATAATAATGGAAACCTATGGTTTCGAAAAACATAGGTGAAACTTTTGTCTGAAATATTACACACTCACCTCTAACCTTCTCTATTTCATTTATTTTGCTCCCTTTTCATCTCCATATATTTTCAAGCAAAACTAATAACGTATTTGAGATCAGCAGACAAAACTGGGTCATTCAGTTTATGATCCTACTTGATAGTAATATTTACGAAAGCTATTAAGAGCGCAAAAAAAAGGCTGCGGTACATATGGCATACCACACTGTAAAAAAAAACGTAGAGCACAAAACGGAAAAGGGTTTTTGCATTTGCAACTACACCAAACCCATTTCCGTTTTGCATTCTGAGTGCAAAAGCCCCTTCCGTTTTTTAAAACACTGCTTTAACGGTAAATGCAAAACGGATAGAGGTTTCTTATGCATTGACTGTGGGTTTTGTACCTAATTTCAAAAACCTTCTATGGTATTTTGAAATATGCCTGACCGTATTTCAAACAGTATTTGAAGGAGTTTTTGCGCCCTGCAAAACCAAACTGGGTTTCGTGTAGTGGCAAATACAAAACCCCTCCGAAATACTGATTTTAGTATTTTGAACTACGCTTCAGGGTTTTGTGTAATTCATTCAAGAAAGAGCTTCAACTTTCTGTGCTAAACAGAAAATCGTAGTTATCTGAAGATGATTTATCTCGAAAACCCAACGTTCTTGGGTAAATTGACTGTGTCCAAAGAACTTTCAGTCTTGTGCAGAATTGCATTCTCTACATTTTCTCTCATAGGCACCACCTCAGAAAAATGCTTCCCAGCTGAGATAAGCATGATTTCTCGATTAGCAAAGGAAATACGATCGTGTATGCCGATCGTCGTATACGGCTGAACACAATTCTTTTAGACGGTTCGCGCTCAGGAAAAAGAAACTTTCCACAACAGTTCAGTGCTTTGGAACAGTTATGTTAGGGATATTTACAGGTTTAGTCGTTTGAACGACGATGCCAGTGGTTATCTAAATGTATAAGCTCATTCCCTTTTCTCCAAGTTTTTCCTTCTTCAAGCATCGTTCGTAATTAACGTGATCAGATACTAAATCATGTGCTAAAATCATAGGCAATTTATGGGCGATAGAAAATATTTGAGTGAAAAAAATTAAATTTGATAAAAACTATAACCCAAAAAATAGAATTTGATCGACAATATCTGTTCATTCATCAATACTATGAGAGAATAAAAACTGGTTAATGTTCACATCTACCTATAGGTACCTGAACCTTCAGCATTTCAAAATAATCTGTACAAATGCTAAGAAACGCCCAAGTTATCTTTAGCGATAATTCACTGGTCTCCTTTTACGTTGATGAACTTTTTCAGCAACTTTAGATTGTGTTGATGTCTCATCTTGCTCTCCGTCTGAATCAATAAAAATGTTGCTAATGCCAGTACTATGTCGTTTCCCTGTCATCTTCTTTTTCTGAATCGAATTAATTATTGTTGTACTCGATGTTGTTGTATCTGATTTCATTTTTTTCCCTGATAGATCGATCTTTTCTACATCTTGTACACTGTCGATATTATCGGCTTTTCGTTTTGATTTGTTTTCGTCGGTGACTGTTGACTGTTTCTCTTTTTGATAGTTTGTATTTGAACAATTAATTGAATAACCCGATGAACTTAAAGGTGATTTTACTATTTTCGCCGGTGATGATTCTTCTGTTTTCTGTTGTTCTTGATCAGTGGCTTTTATTTGTGGCACTTTTGAGGTGATTTTAATATCCCATTCATTCAGTAACTTTCTGGTTGAATTCGAAGCAGTTCCTTTATCGTCGAATATAATCGAATATAATAACCGTATTGTAGT